GGTTCGGGGGCGTGGCAGCGGTGGTGATTTAAATGACCGGGTTGCGAACAGATCCACTATAACTGCTGACCCAGGAGTGCGACAGTTTGGCCGTCGTTACCGGCTGTGTCCACCGTTCAACAGTGTGGTCGCGGAGACGGTGACCTGTGCTGCATCTGCAGTACACTCTCCTGACACAACCACAGTCGTTCCGTATCGAAGGCCCCGAAAAACGCAAAATTGTTATGGCTGTTTCCCTGCCGCTATTTTCCCAACACCTCAACCTGCCAACTCCCTACGTAATCGTCGGTTGTCGGTATGCATGCCTTCGAGTTTGAACATTTGGTCCTACTTAAAGGTTGATACTCTTTACAGCCATCGAGCTTCGCGTATACATCTATTAACACTTTCCACAGACGATCGTTTCGGTAGCGATTGCTCCTCCTGACATTTGCGCTTTCTTGTACGCTTCGGAACCTTGCAATCCGCAAATATAGTGCGACTCCCTTAATATTTATTACAACCCTGTTTTTCGCATGACCGTTTAGGTTGAAATTCGTCCCCATCTACGATGGTCTTCATTAATTCGAATTTGCTATTTGTAGGATCGTGAAGGATAAGCAACAGGCAGGCGAATCGCCGGCGGAAGGCGAGAGTGGTGTCCAACTACCCGTCTACCTCAACGCATCGCGTACCGTCCTCCTATTTACACTGACCCTACAAACCAAGGAGGCAGGTAGCGACTTCTACAAGCGGGGCGTGGCCATCCTCTCTTCTCAGCTCGGCTGATCCAGAGGCTGATCTCATCTGTCCTCCGCCAAGTCCACCACTGTGACCCTTGTGTCGCCTATCATCTTTTCATTTATCTTCCTTTTTAATTTTATCTGCGCCCCCTTCCTTGCCCCCTCTGCCATTATAGGCATTCCAACTGGTGAAGACGCGTCTATTTTTTCGTTCTGGTTTTATTTAATCGCCGGCCAACCAGCGCTTTGGTTGCTTTCCTCCCCTCCCCCCTGTCACGGGTCAGCTTTCCAAAGCTGCAGATCCCCGTTTTTGGTGTTACAAGTCCGTTGAGTCCCTTCTTCTCCTACCCATGGCGCTGTTGAATTGTTCCTCTCCCCCAACT